TTCCATGGCGGTTTCTTGGGTGTTTTAAGTCATGTCACCATCATTTTTCACTTTTATCTTTACCTTACCTGATAAAGGATTTTAGTCAGCTAGTGAGTTTGATTGAGCAGCAGTTTGGCTCTTGGACAGAAGCTTTGCTGATTGGTTTAGAAACATAAGATGGCCATTTCTGTTTGTTCTGTGAAGACTTTTGCAGATAATTCTATACCCTGTGTAACCTTAGACACTGCCTCAAGTCAATATTGTAATCCTCTACTTAAAGGGGACAGCTTCAGTTAGATCAAATAGATATCGGCTGATTATGAGAGTGTGTACTTGTAGTATCTAAAACTACCTGCAAACCATCATAAACCATCATGAATCTCCCTTCATGACGACGGCTCCTCTCAGCACAAAATGTTTGTGTTTTCTCGACATTTTTAGGAGTGCATATGTGAAAATGGCTTCTTTGTGTTTAAACACTTACAAAGAACTCTTTTGGGGTGAGCTGACACGTCTAAACACAAACATCTGAATTTTCAACCTCAACTTAACCTGGAATTTTTCCAGATCGCCCCTATAGGAAATTTTCCCGAGTGAAGTCAGGGATGATGACGATTAGATCGTGCGAAGGCTGAGCGACCGGTTTGATCGTCGTGCTGCATCATACTCTCTTTGTTTTATTCTATTATCTGCTATTTATCAATGCTGTTAATATGCCCAATTAAGTAGAAAAAAATGTCATTATAGCATCAGATCATTTTTCTTTGCCGCCATTTCTGCGTTGTCTTCTTTGCTTCATGTCCTGCCTCCATCTGAAAGTTTCCTGCTGTGATTGACGTGTGTGTATGCAGGTTAGGAAGATTTCTGTCCTGAAATGTTCAAGAGTCAGTGTTTGAAAAAGGCTCCAGTCTCTCCCAGCAGAAGCAAAACAGGGAGGTTTTGTCGTAAAGAATCTTCTCCTCTTGTTTTGTCTCGGCTCCATTTCACCGCTGCTGCGCTCACAGACCGCCGCACTGTAAAAACTGATACACAGGAAGGTCAGGGACGTCTCTGGGGTTAGGAGGATCTCGGTGTGCACATCTGAAAGTGCGTGCTGGGCTTAATGCGAGTCTGATGTAGTCATGGCTAATCTATGAAGTCTAAACAGATATCTGAGAACAAGAGAACAAGAGGGGGGACGTTTCTGTTTACTGGCAGCGTGCCTTTCTTTTCTCATGACAACAAATCCTAAATCTGGAAGTCCACAGACACACACTCATCACAGAACACCTGCACTCAGAGGTTGTTTTTCTCTGAACGGTTTCCCCCAAAGCAACAACTTCTGGCCCCAAAGTTCACTCTGAATAAATGTCTAGTAACTGATATCATGCTGCAGCTCTCCTGGTTTCATCTTGTTGAATCAGTTTATTCTTCACACAATAGTTTTTAGTATAAATATTTGAGCTATTTCATTATTCACATCTGAGTATTACTGATGATGATGTTTAAAAAAACAAACCAAAAGTTTAGAGTCTCAGTGTGCAAAGGCCTTAACTCCTGCACAGTATCTTCATTGCACATATACTGTACGTTGCCAACAACTAGTGCAATTTAAAGACTATGCAGGAGTTTGTAATTTTGGTTATTAGAAACAGGAAATGACCCAATATTGATTGTCTAGGTCTTCCATTTTAGTTGCTGTGTTATTAAAACAGGTATTGATATCGTTAAAAGTTATTTTCTCTTGACAACAGTGAGGAAACCAATAATGCATTTGATGTCTAAACTGATCTTAAATACTACCTTCGCAAAAGTCGGTGTCTTTACCTCCTGTTGGTACCTGTTGGCTTCTTCATACAGAAAAGTGCATTAGATTGAGAGCCCTGCGGTGTCCCAGGAGGGCCGTAAAAAAAGATTGATCTGCCTGCTAAGTGTTCTCAGCCCGGGCCAAATTGGGGACCTTCTGTAACGGCACTTCTATAGAGAGGAGGGGAGTTAAGCAGACTGTTTTTGGCCGCTCTCCTTCATTCCAGTGATTCCTCAGTGCCTATGGGCATTGGCACACCGAAGGGGGGTGAGGGTGGGGGGGGGTTAAGGTTTAGACCCTGCTTTAGAGGGTCAGTCCTCGCCTCAGGTGCACATGGGGAAACACTTAGCTTCTCTCTCATTGTTCAATATCTCCTCTGAATTTTTCACTTTCTCTATTTCATCCTTTTCTTTCCCAGCTGATCTGATTGCACTCACAACGGCCGTGTTCATACCTCTGTGTGTTTAGTGTGTTAAAATCATTAGCTTCACTGTGGTCCTCCGCTCTCTCTTTGATACCGCCGTTTAACTCGCTATTATTCTGTGATTCCGAGCTCTTGTACTGGCCGACTGTGTTTTCCCCTGAACTCTGAAACCAGACCTGGTAATCTCATCAAACATCAGTTGTGTTTGGCAGTGGCTGCGACATTACTTTACCTGCTCGAGAAAAGAGAAAGTTATTCTACACCGGCTGTAAATTACAACTATGGGACTTTTCTCTTCTCTCAGCAAAGACCATTTTGGGGCAAACACGCCAGGTTTTCTGTTGAACACCGTTCCGCATAAATCTCCCAAAATTATAGCCCCCTTCCCTTTTTTTCATGTAGTTAAGCACACAGCTGGAAATCAATCCTCCAAACGCAGAGTGGATCAGTCAGAGCGCAGCTTTGTGTTGCTCACTGATAATACTTAATGTCATGAAATAGATTTCTTGGAGGGAGAAGGAGACAGGTTTTCAATCTTTAGATGTCACATCAGACCGAATTCTTTGCTGCAGAGCTAAAGTTAAACGCAGAGTGTGTGTGTGTGTGTGGACGTCACGGCCACAGGCTGGCATGTGTGCGAGCGAGCTGTGAGGTGACCCTGCCCCGCTAATCCCGTTATCCGAAGATGGAGGAGATGACTCACGTCACGTCAGGTCCAGTCACATCTCCGTTTCTGGTGCTCGTGGGGGCGGCATGTCGGACCGCCTGCAGCCGAGGTGGGACCTGATCCAGAGAGGGACAATCTGCCACGTCACACTTAAGTTAGTGACTTCTACACTGCAAAACGTGAAATCTAAGATATTTAAAAGTGCAATATCTGCTTATTTCTGCTCCTGTTTTTAAATCTCTTATTACATTATTGTCTTAAATAACCTTCAAAAGATTTGATCACTTTTGAGATTTTTTTGTTTTACTGTTTCTGAGTAACTTGGTGGTTGAAACTACACGAGCAGAATCAGCTCTGAGAATAAAACTTAAATTTCAACTTCTACATTTTAAGCATCTCATCATTTCCATCTCTTCACGTCTTTGGTGCAAGCAGAACAAACACTTAATCTTTATTTGGGTCACAAATCAGAGTCATTTGGACTCAACATTTTTCTTTGTTATCATAAAAGAGTTTGTTTGGAAGTTCTGCAAATAATTGAATCTGCATGAGTTTAAAGTCTCTTAAAAATGTTTTTAAGTATAAAAGGAGCTACAAGTAAATCAATTAAATGACTTACATAAAGCACGATCAGCTGAATTCCTGGGTTTAAAGTCTTCTTTTATGATGTCTTAAGCTTTCCTTTTCATGAATATTATTTAAATGTGTCTCTCTCTCTGTATTCAGTGAGTAGCTGTGTTAGTTTGAAGATGCATTTCCTAAATGTGTGTGTTTAATTGAGGTGGAAAATCTGCTTAAATCTATGAACTGCTAGGTTATTTTCATCAGATTTTTCACTCTACTAAAAAAAGTTATCAGACAACAGTTTTTATTTATTGTCTGCTCACACTTGTTTTAGGATATCTTTAGTTTCGCTGACTCAACGTTGTGTCACTTGTGGGGCGCCAGTAGCCTAGTGGTTTAGTGTGCGCCCCATCTACAGAGGCTGTAGTCCTCTAAGCGGGCGGCCCAGGCTGAAATCCGACCTGTGGCTCCTTTCCTACATGTCACTCCACTCTCTCTTTCTCTCTCTCTCTCTCTCTCTCTCTCTCTCTCTCTCTCTCTCCCCGGTTTCTGACTCTATGCACTGTCCCATCTCTCCAGTAAATAGCCCCAAAATAATCCTTTATAAAAACAATCTTAGACATTTTCTTACCCTGACTGAGGACCCTCTTCTTGTTCTAGATAAATTACTTTCTGCACTGGTTTTGAGAATAATGTATTAACCTGAGTGTACTGGGTTTTATTGGGGGTTGAGCTATTCTCACTTCTCGTACTGGTGCATTTTATAAATATGCAGAAATTGCTTTGTGTTCTCTGTGAAACCCAGATGATTTAAAACATCGAAACATAAAAGGATATTTATTTTAATGATCTTTATTTTAAGACTATTGCCAAAGCATTGGATGGCACACCTTAACATGCTGAGTAATCACTTCCTAAACGTTATCTTTGAGTCAGATATTATTATTATTATTATTATTATTATTATTATTGCTTTATTGGGAAGACTCAAGGTCCATATAAAAGACATACAACAACACACATACAAGTTAAAAAAATAGGTATAAGGCAATTATACCAATGCTTCCACATAGGTGACTGGTATCGTACAGTACTGAGACAAGGATTTGATGGACGTGCTTGATGTTCAGTCTGGTTCTAGATATTATTACAAATTAACAGAAAACATCGTACAATTTTCAAGTTATGTTGGCCCATAATTTTGCTTGTGTAAGTATTGTACCCCCCATGGTATTGATTTTTTTAGCCGACTGGCTGCAACCCGACCTGCAGCTTTAACACTGCTGCTAGCCGCCACGGGGTCTAACCAGGCAGTGACACATCAAGACTACTGTGCATGTTGAAATTTTGACAAACGCTGGAGGACTTAATCCTGAAACTAAACTTAACTCTGTCGACAGCAATCACATTACTTTTCTCTTTATCATTGTCCATTCAGCGTCCGTCTCTGCAGAAAGCGTTTTAACGAGATGTTAGAAAGCTCTTCTCACAGCGGTTTTTGTCTCCCGGTATCCCCTCTTCTGTCTCCTGGCTCCCCCCCTCCTCCCCCTTCCCTCCCCTCCCCGCATATGGGATTCACATTTGGCTTCAGTGAACATTTTCTTAATGTGATATTTTGATACATTATCTGAAGCCATTCACTGCCTGTCACCACCTCTCCTGTGGAGCCGAGCCGAGCCAGGCCGAGCCAGAGGAGAGACATTCGCATTGTGTCCAGGTGAGTTATGAGCATTTAACTCGACACTGTTCGCAGCGGGGATCATTTACAACGCCTGAAAGTGTAATCAAAATACAAACTGTGCTTACATGAAGCCTCTCACTCTATGTCTCTGCAGGAGCCTGTTGGTGCTGGATACGTTTTCACCCTCCCCTGCTGCCGGCTGTAAATCGCCTCTGTCAAAGGTGTGTGTGTGTGTTTACATGTGTGTGTGAGTGGGAACAGAAGGTGAGAAATTTGGGGGTCAGCCGAGGTCTTTCAGGTAATTGTGCTTCTTAAACTTTTGACCCACTAAGCCGTACTTAGTGTGGTGCAGCTCGCTCCCCTTATTTCCCCCGAGAGTTCTGGACTCTGCATACCAGGACGTGTGAGTGTCTGAACACATGCTCACACAGCTCATGTTATTTTTTTTTTCAGCTATTTTGGCGTAGCCCTCATTGTTATTCCCACACAGTCTGACTGCCCAGCTCCTATATTCAATCCATCCATGAGAAACACATAGTAGTTTGTCACGTTAGACCCTCACTCTAACCCCCCCCTCCTCTCTGGCTAAGTGAAACATGTTGGAAGAATGCATACTCAGTCCTCAGACGCCAAACGATGTGACTTATTTGTCTCTTGATTCGGTCCACACCCAAACAAGTAAATGAAACTGCAGCCCTCAGTGTCAGGTTATGATATCATACAGCTAAAAATGGTAAATTCAAGGGGAATTCCCGTCTTTTTTAAACCTATAGGCTCTGTGTTATTATATTTGGGGTGTAAGTAACTAATATGCAAAGTTTTGGGAATTTTGGAAAGTGAACGCTGATGAAGGCCTAGTGCTAACACACGTCCGTTGTTTGTATTGTACGCTGCTCTTACCCAGATAAAGGAAACTTGAAGGACAGTTTGGTGTGCTGACTTTTCTGTCTCTGTAAAGTTTTGGGAATTGCCTCTGCAGATTGCTCCGGTCTGCAGCAGTGACATATATCTTGTAATGACCACAGATTAATCTCTTGGAACAAATGCATCTGTTTAAAGTGTGTGTGACAAGCTCAGGTTGTTATTCTATTTAAGGCAACTTTACAGAAAGTTCCCTACGGATGATTTTTGACTTTTTATGCCTTAATTGTAGAGACAGTACAGAGGATAGAGTCAGAAATCAGAGAGAGAGAGAGAGAGGGTGGGGAACAACGTGAGGGAAAGGAGCCACAGGTCGGAATTAAACCCGAGCCAGTGCTTGGAAGACTATAGTCTCCGTACATGGGGTGCCTGCTCTAACCACTAGGCTATCGGCGCCCCAAGGAAGATGATTTGTAACCACAAACAGCTGTTACGTCACTCTTTTCAAAGCCACCAAACTTCATTGACAAAAACAGCGATTTTACCCGCTGCACAAAAAGAGAGTTTTGTTAATTAACAACTGTTAATGTTGTGTAATGTTAGATTTTCAGAATCATCAAAGATTACTTCATATGCAGAAATTTAAAAAATAAGTTTCTTCTGTATCTGTTGAGGGTTGTGGAAATGTTTGATACTTAAATACTTTTTGATACCACTTGTTTGAAAATGATACAAACTCTGTTATCATAGTGATCGATAATATTTAAGGTGCTGAAGCTTTAAGAACTTCATCTGTGCGTTTAGGTGAGGAATAAATCAATCTTAAACTGCAGACAAACTCCTGCACACTGTCTACATTGCATGAACACTTTGCAGGAGTTCGTTTGCAGTTTTTGAAAATTAAAAACAATAAATTAACCGAATCCTGGGTGTCTAGGACTTCTACTTTTGACATTGTGGTATTGTGGATCTGTTGATCCTAGCTGCCAGGCTTCATAGACTTCAACTCGTTTTAATTTTCAGATAAAGTAGGATGCAGAGCTTTCCCTGCCTACCCCCCGTCTGGTTAGCTTGTGAGTGTGTTATCGTTTGTTACACAAATGTTGTGTTGTATGCAAACTAAACATTTAGACACCAAAGTCACGCAAACTGAAACCAACTAACTCCTCTAAGTCATCATTAGACAAAGACTCAGTCGGCTGTTTCTGTTGCAATCTTTGTTTCATTTTCATTGTTACCAGAGCTTTTGATAATCCTGAAAATCTGGCCCCTATTTTTCCATATTTCACACAAGAAGAGAGGCTGATCTAAGCAGAGGCCGATCAGCAACTCACACTATCTCAAGGTTAAATGAAGGTTTTTGTTAATGGAGTCTGGTGGCTTTAAGAAGAGAGATGCAATCTGAATTATTGTCAGACAATTAGAAAAACAATCTGAGTCTGTTAGTCACAAAAAACAAGAATTTATTAAGAAGGAAATTTGATCACATCGGCTGAAGCAATCCACTGGAGCATGTCCAAAACGTTTTTGTAAATTTTAGTTATTAAGCTCTAAAAATATACAAAGATGTATCCAGCGTTGACAAAAGCTCTCCGTTTAAACCGAGTCATTCACTCAGAGAGCAACAGAGTGATTGATGTAATATACTGCAATAATGTTTGCAAAGCCTGTGAGAAGGTAGGACAGCTCTCGTCTCAGTGACAGTGATGCATCTGTCTGAATTAGCTTCTATTCATCACAGTCTGTCTCTTTATCTCTTCACAGTGTATGTCTTTATGTGAGGAGGCTGGATGAATACGTTGTTTGTGTCCAAACACACAGACACAGGAACCTTTACTGTTTTTCATTTCAATGAAAATCCACAGAGCGACTCGTACAGAAAACACTGGATGGTGTATGATTTCTTTTTAACAATGTGAGTGGTAAATGTTTGCTTTTTAACAAAACTTTACATGAAGAGTTTGAGAAAGTACCTCATTTTTTGTGATGATTTAAAATGTTTGCAACACTTTTATGATGAGTAAAAATGAAAATGTTTTGCGCTGCTTTCCCTCTCCTGTATTTAACATGTATATCACTCTCCCTGCAGGTGGAGGAGCTCCCACTACATTCACTCCGCTTACAACACAGATGTCCCCATTAAGAGAAGACTGCTGAGGTGAGTTATTTAACCTCCCTTTTCTCTCCCCCTCACCCGTCCAGCCCTGATGTCATTGCAGGAGAAAGCGCGTGAAGAGGAAAGGCCACGGGGGCCAGTTGTTTTTAAATAAACTAAATCTGCTAACAGTTTTATAACCCTGACCTCGTAAAAAAAAGCTGCTGCAGCTTTTGGTCAGCTCGCTCCTGATGGGCCGAGCAGAGACGTCCGAGGCTGGAATTCCCATTTGCCACTGTGGAGCGTGTCGGTGCGTCAGCTGGTGTGTGTGTCAGAAAGAGAGAGAGAGAGACAGAGAGAGAGAAAGGGCGTGTGATATATGACTGCTGTGTCATGATCCACATGTGACGAGCGTCCTCACAGGCATAGCATCCAGACTGCTCCCTCCTTCGCTCTCCTGTTGGAGGAAAAGTGTGAGTGTGGGACAGAAAGAGAGGGAGGGCGAGAGAGAGAGAGAGAGAGAGAGAGAGAGAGAGGGGAGGGAAGAGTGCTCAGACAATCAGTCAGAGAGAGAGAGAGAGGAGAGGTAGAACAGGAGGAGAGAGGAGCTCTGTGGGAAACAATAGTCAAACAACAAATCCAGTGCTGCGTGCAGGATCTCAGACTCCCTCTGGATACGTCTGCTGTCCATCTGCTGCTGAAGGTAAGGCCTCCAGACTGCACACCTACACCTACACCAGGATCCTGTCTGCTTTTTCATCCTCTAAAGAGTTCTCCTAAACCCTCTTGTTACTTTTGCAAGATGCTATCATTCAGAATTAAACTCCAGAAGGCTGAGAATATACATTTACTGCATGTTTTTAATGATTAAAAAGCTGCGTCAGATTCAGATTTGTTTTGCAATAAAGGTTTAAAATCACAGAAATGTGTTTCTGTGTTTTGCTGCAAAACAATAAAATGGAAATAGATTTTAATAAATAGAAAGAATTGGCTGCGTTGGGCGGGTGTGTGTACTTAGACAAGGAACTTGACTCCAGTTTTACACGGGCCTTGTAAAGACACAGAATAGACCTACGCTTTAAACCTGGATAACAAACTCCACAGAAACATGAACATTAAACTTCTATAAACAAGAATACAGATAGAATAAACATCATGGGTATTCATATTTATTATATGTCAGCAAGAGATGCAAGTGAACAGCAGCACCTCCGACTGTCAGATAAGTTAAATATAATAAACCATAAAGCAGCAACATATGTAACATGAAAAATATGTATTTCTATTTTTAAAATGTTGTGAAAGATTTGAAAAGTTAGTGCAAGAATGTTCCAGATGTTTTGAAATGAATTTACGCGCTGAATAAGAGCAGTGTGCCGTCAATAATTCGATGTGCGTTGATGTATCAGAAGAAGAGTATTTCTGTCGTTGTCATCATTTCGACCGAGTTAAAGTTCAACTCATGTTGCACATCTCAAAATCTCAGGTGCACATTCCTCTTTTATGGCAGGTATTTGGTGCTCCGCGTGCGTCCAGAAACAGCAAGTGGTTGTGATTAGGAAGCATTGTGACATGATGTGTAATAGGAGGAAACATGTTTGTGTTGGCACCGGTGGATTCGCTAATCAGGCACTGACAGCGAGGCAGGGAGGACAGAGGAACTCCGCGAGCGTGTGTGTGTGTGATCCGGAGCGTGGGGTTAATCACAGTGAGAATACTCTCACATACTGTATGGATATGTGTTTTACAGGTGTGTGCGTTTATGTCCATAACTTTATGATTGACTTGGCCTGCTCTGTTGGAGCCTGAGGCTGCTGGCTCATGCTAGAAGGAGATGATGACAGATATAATATACTCTGTGGTAGGTAGGAAGGAGGAGGAGTAGACGAGCTATACCACTTACATGAGCTGAGAGGGAGAGGCGAGCGTGTGAGAATGAGAGAGGAGAAGGTGTTTAAATGAAAAATGAAGTGAGCGGGGATAATAAGAGGGGGGAAGAAGAAGAAAAAGTGAGAGTAGGTGGAAGAACATCTGAGAAGGAGGCAGGAACAGACAGTGCCAGAGAGGAAAGAGAGAGAATAGAGGAAACAGAACGAAACTGAGACGTGTGAGAGGCAGAGGTGGGAAGAGAAGAAGAAAAAACAGTGTTAGGATACTTAAGGAGAGCTTTCAGGTGTCTGTACCCAACTTTAATATCTGAGTTTCTACTCCCTACATTTTCAAAACTGTCTTCCTACCTTTGCTGTAAAGTATTTAAGAGGGCTTTCTGATTATTTTAATTTTTGCATCATCTTTGCACCCTGCCTTCCTAACATCAAGACAGATTTCAACCGAAATAGATCAAACAAAGACGCCCAAAATAATAAGAGGATTCAAAACAGAAGATGACACTGAACCGACTCGTATGACAAAAACAGAGTAAGAAACTTATTGTGGAGGAGAGCGTCTAGTGAATGTGATGTCCATGAGCGACAGGGAGAACTCAGGGCCACATGGAGATGAAAATGATTTCTTTCATTATTTCAAACATTTAGAAATAGCTGTAGTTAAAAATATGTAGAAAACTGATTTCAAAAAGTTCAAAACAGAAGAAGGAAAAGTTCTTACATGCCTGAAAAGGAGTAGGAATAAGTTCAAACTGATTTAGTCCTACCTCTTTTAACTCAACGTAATTGTTATTAATTAAACTAATATTCAGTGATATATTATATATTAAGTATTCCCATCACTATGATATAACTATTTACAAAAAACATAACCAGTAGTCGATCTAACTGAACCCACAAACTAACATACTAAACTAAATAATTACAAACTTTTCCCTTCCTCATCCCTGGACCTCATAAAAACAATTTCTTCATATTTCATTTTGAACGGGAATAAATTGCTACCTTGCGTCTGATTTCACTCAGTCTGTCCCACAGTTTCACATCACATCTTGACAAACAAAAACATTTCAGTGTCGTGTGGATACTTTGTGGCCGACAACAAGCAGCAGAATCACACTAGAGAGACATTCCCCATCAGACATTTGGATGTCACAATATAAGAACTTTGATATGATTCTTGTAAATATAAAAATAAACTGATAATACCACGACAGAGGGGCTGCTAATCAACAGGCAAGGCAGGCAACTGCTTGGGGCCCCAGGTCAGTAGGGGACCTGCAAGGGCGGATGAACTTTAAACACAGCAGTGGCTCAAAATGTGCAAAGTTTGAAATGGTCCAAGGAAACCCCCCTAAGTGGCCCCATCTGACAGCACACACTCAGATAAAAGTATATGACTGAATGATGCTTCTCTACACCTAAATATGGGGGAGAGACAATTTATGAACTTAGCTTCCACTAAAAAACTTTGTTGGTGTGACATTATTATAAAATCATTTGTACAGGCACTGTTTGGAGGGACCCCCCCATCCCCTGTACATTTTTGCCTCGGGCCCTGCAGACTCCAGAATCACCACTCGTCGTAGATCCCCAACACTGGGTAATTACTGAAGGAAACTCTATAAACCACTACTTCTTCTTTTACCAGAAGCTTTTAAAAAGTTGCAACCTCTGAGGCTGAAAAAATGAAGACAACCAAAAAGTTGCAGTTCCCCAAGTGTCCACTAGAGGCTGTGTCTTGCAGTGTGTCAGTTCCCATAGAGCCCATGTTAAAATGTCCAATTTTACAGCAGAAATAAACATGTTTACAGCCTGGTACAAAAACAGATTTGGTCTCTACAGCTCATTATTTAAGGTTTAAAGTGATGTAGAATTAGGGGGCGTGGCCTCTTTGAGTGACAGGTGGGAGTTGCTAGCTGTCTGCTAGGTGTCACCTCAGCTAATTCAGTCACTGACCTTTAAACTTCGGCCATGTTTGGGCTGTTGGAGCCTTTTGGAGATTTGTTCATGTAAATATCAGACCAATAATCTGTCTTCTGTGATCTTTCTTTTACTAACAGAACGTCCAACAAGTCTGAGTTCCACTTTTTACACACAGTTAACTCAAACATTATGATTTTACATGTTAGCACTATTTAGCAGCTATCTGTGTCTGTGAGAACCACACCTGGCTTGCTAACTGGTTCTATTTATGAGTCAGGATTGTTGTTGGTTTTTCCTGCAGAGATGATGTCAGGCTGTAATGACGTTTTAAAGTATCCTGATTGGTTTTGTGTTCGCTCGCAGTTCGCTCTCTCAATGGAGATTAACGGGAAGTTTCTGTACTTCTACTTAAGTTGAGACTGTGTGTACTTCTGCCACCTCTGCTGAGAAAAAGGTGAGAGTGATGGAGGCTTCGACAAGCGAGAGGAAGATATTGAGACATCTCTCTCCACGTCAAGTGACACCAGATGAGAAACAGTTTGTGTGTCCTGCTGCTGCTCGAAATAAAAATCACATTTAAGCAGTTCGGAGGAAGAAGAGTGGGAGGTGTGTTTGAAAGATCGCACATTCAGCCAGGTGTAGATAGATAGCAATGCTCTGGCAGAGCGGTGCACGGTTGGTTTTGTGTTTCATAGTCTCACACACACACACACACGCGCACACACACACAGGGGCCCATTGTGAGTGTATTTATTTGGACAGTGTTGAAGCTCCGATAGGCAGTTCACAATGTCTCACCGCCGCAGGAATGTGCTTCTGACAAATGGATGCTCCGCACGAAACCGCAGGGCCATCGAGGAGACCCTGATGCGGCTTGTGACAGATCTGAGCTGCCCGGAGAAAACCTGGTCCAGTGTGATAAAACAAACACGCCCACGACTTCTTCTTCCCTCGCCTCGGGCTCAGGGTTGAACCGAGGATTGATTATGTTTTGTGCGCTGGTTTTAGCCCGCAGCCCTCACATGCCTGTCTGTTTGATGAGGATGAAAAGAGGAGGCGGATTCTGGATTTGAGGTGCTTGTTTGTTGACCCCGCCGGATTAGCAGCTCTGTTTTCTGCTCAAAGCAAAACAATAGAGGAGCTCCCGCACTCTGAGAAATATATAAAATAAGAGTATTAATACATTTATGTCCTCTGTGTCTTCTCTTTCTGTCTCCATTGTTTCTGAGAAGCTCGAACTATAAAGCTAAC